CCTGTGGACTCTCAGAAGAGAGGTTGCTAGTTATGCGTTCCAACATTACGTTGGAGGTCGAAGGTGGAATTTTGGATTTAGGTGAGGGAGCAGCATCCCTGGAATCGAGTCCAGAGACACTAGTTGGTACAACACTTTTGGAAATTTCCTTCTTCTGCTTCTTCTTCAAAGCAGCTGGTAAATTCCCTCCAGCATTGGGGTCTTCCCCAGTAGTGTTTGTTTTTCGTTTCTTTGGAGTGGTTGGCGGGAGTTTGTTAGTCTGAAAAGATTTAAACCATAAGTTAGATGCAAATCATGAAACATTAGTGTATTCGAAACATCAAGGCTAAGTGATTACCTGTGGAGTTGGAGCACTGGTTATTACTGGTGTTGTGGTTGTTGTTGTTGCAGCAGTTGTTGTTGGTTTGGATAGAGTCACATTATCAATGGTTTCGACAGAGGCCTGAGAGGCGCTCCCTTCTTTTGACTTTGAAGCAGCAGTCTTTATCCTGATGGCTGAAAATCGAAATAATTAAGGCAAAAGTTAAAAATGTAGAAAATGAGAAACATTTGGGATTTTCCCAAGCATTCACACCTGTGCCTTGATCAGATTTAATCGACATGGCAGAAAGGTCATAGCGAAGATGTCCTGGGAAATCGTGGAGCCAATGTCGAGCCCATGTCACAGTCTCAGATGGCTTTGGTTTCTTTTGAAGATATTTGAACATTTCTTTGCAAGTGAACCACCAAGGGTATGGAGGAAACCAAGCCAGAGCCAGTTCTGAGGTAGGTAATCTAGGAAATTTAGGTGGATGCATTTCGAATGCCAACCTATACTTATCCTCAGGTGACAACCCTGAAGGAAGTTTTAACTTAGAAATTTTTTCTTTGAATTTTTCCTTCAAGGTCTCAGCCGCTTGATGCACAGTGGATTCCAAGTGTGTGGGATCATAAGTAGTTTCGAAATAATTTTGAAAAGCCTTAATCTCTTTGGCATGAGTGAACATACCTTTCTTGGATGGTACCTGCACATCGAATGCATCAGTTAGTTTTTGCTGAATAGTAAGAGTATCAAACATATAAGTCTGATAGAACTTTGTCCACCATTCCAAAAACCCCTTTGCTTTAAGGTGTGTAGGTTCGAAAGTTATTAGTTCAAAGTGGGCGAAGCCTTGGTATTGTTCCTGCTGTAGTTTGGCTTCTCTTGCCTTGAAGGTTCGCCCAGAGGTGATGGCATTCTCTGTTTGGAATAAGGGTTCAGGGATTAGTTGGCACAAGCCAAATTGTCTCGAAACGAAGTTGGGTTGATAAGAAAAAAGGAAGATTTGATTCTTAGCAGGAGTAATTCGTGAAGAGATTAGTCTGGGTAGCAAAAAGGCTCTCCATACATCTTGAATTTCTTTGCTTTTGACTGCTTCTGAGAGAGCCATGGTGAACCATGAGGGTCCATGAGTCCTTGAAGCAAAAGGCGCCATGGTCTCTTCGAATTTGTGCCTCTTGGATAAAATCATGATATATTTTGAGAAGAGAACTTTGAAGTCATCCTTATCATCGTTTGGGGTAAGTCTTCGCAGCCTAGTGTCTTCGATGATTCTATCCGCTATTTTTGGGTCTTGTTTAGCAATAGTGTTGGCAGTTGATAGTGAAGGTTCGAACATGGAATTTAGCCATAACTGGAGTAACCAGAAAGGGCCAGCTAGCAGGATGTTTTTGGAGGTGTGAGATTTCAAACTCGAAACAGCTGACCTTAGACTTTCGTAAAGATCAACTAATAGCAGTTCGCTTAAACACACCCTCCGATTCTCATGCAAATCTCTAGCTAGAGGAATAAACCTACTGGCTACCTGTAGGGATCTGCTGCAAAAGACATACCTTGACAACCATAAGGTAAGGAAATCAATGTGTTCCACATCTGACACACTGTCTCCTTCAGTGTGATAGTGGCTGATAAACTTTGAAAAGCTAGCTAGCTTGACTTCGAAGTCAATAATACTTGAATGCTCTTCATTGTCAGGAATATAGGTTTCTCCTATTGGTGATAACCCAGTAATGGCTGCTATGTCAAAAAAGGTGGGTGTAATCATTCCACCAGGGAGATGGAAAGTATTATAAGTACTGTCCCAGAAATACAGGGACGCGAATAACAATGGGTGGCTATAGGTAAAACCTGGTTTCGATAGTTTAATCAAGTTGTAAATGCCTAATTCTTCCCATTGCTGGGATTTCTTAGCTTCTACTTTATTAAACCAGTTGTGATAAGCTGTGTCGGAGGTGGGGCAAGATCGAAATGGTTTGAAGTTACTCTTTACATAATCTAGCACAAAAGGGTCCTTAGGGGGAATGATTGGATTTTCCACGGTGGTCGAATCAGAAGACTCTATTGTCTTAGGGGTATCCATTTTATTAAACAGAGGTTTAAAATTATAACAAATAGGGAAAATATTTCTGGTGTCTTTTAAGATTTCAAAGACTGTAAGAGGGCCCATTAAAGCTAACCTCTTGCCAGCGGCGTTAGTAGGAATGAGTACCTGGGATGCATAGAGCATTTCCTTCTCTTTTAAGATCATCTGAGGAATAAGAACAGATTGACCTTGGTAGGTGCCAACCTTGCTTTCCATTATGGTTCCTGTGGTCTTTCCTTTCTTTTTGGAAGCTTTTTTCAGTTGAGATGAAGTTGAAGAAGACATTGTTGGAAGAATGTCGGAAATTTAGGGTTTCGGTGAGAAAAGAGGGAGAAAAGATTCAAAATGTGGGAAGAAAAGAAAAGACTAAGTTGATGGGTTTTTATAGTGTGGAAGTTTAAACATCCACTGGGTAAGATTGTGATACGTGGTAGTCGTGGGTTCGTTTGAGAAGGAGGTGGCGTAAAGTTAATATTGGTAATAGGCGTGATTAAATGATAATCATTGTTTTGTAACTGCACCATGCTGTGAAATGGTTCAAGGCGGTTAAGGAATCTGAAAAGCGTTGTGATTGACGTGACTGGAGTCATATGCAATAAATTTTACGATGATTCGAAGGTCACATCAAAATCTTGTGTATATGATTAAAATAAGTATTTCTCAAGGGAATCGAAATACATATTTTAAAGGGGCATTTTGTTGGCTGAAGATTTTGATGATATTATTAGAAGAGAAGCAAATTGGACGTTTCGATTGGAATAAAGCAAGATGTCATGTTTCGAAATGATAGAAGCAGTGCTTCGAATGGGCATATTAAAGCTTGGAGCTTCGAGTGACAGTTATGAGAATATATTCAAAGAAGTCTCGAAATGATAACAAGGCTGTGTCCAAGAAATGCGTTCGAAGCGAAGAAGTGCCAAACATTTGAAATTCAAATGCAAGCGGGATGTTCGAAATTTCAAATATATGCGCTGGAGCATTCGAAGACGCGTGGAAGCTAGAGAGAGGCATTGCTTTGCATGTTCTGAACGTGGCAGAATCTTATAGCAAGACCGTTATGGTCGAAGTAGTATAAATAGAAGTCTTAGCATTAGGATTTCGTGTGTCATATCTATTGTACAAAAAACTCAGTAAACATTCAAAATACCACATGGCTAGGGAAACGAATGCACGAGCAATGTACGTATGATAACACCAAGTGTTTATGATTTAATGAAACTCTTTATCATTTCCAGTGTTTTCCTTTATCTTCATGTCAATACCATTCAAAAGCTTTTGCACAAAAATGTTTTCATTCGAAGTCTTTTTACTGATGCCTTACATTTAAATGCTTTCTTTCCATTTCAAATACTTTACATTTCAGAAACTGTTGTACATTTCATGCCTTTATCTTCAAGCTTTTATCATTCGAACACCTTTTTTCACTTAAAGTCATTTTACTGTTTTCTTGCATTTAAACGCTTTCTTCATATTTCGAATCTTTTACATTCCAGAGAATCTTTTACATTACATGTTTTTTATGCTTCGAAGTCATTCACGTGTCTTTTATGCAGTTTTATATGTCTTTACAATTGAACTTTATTCATGCAATTCAGTTTCGCGCGCATTTACTTGATCAAGTTATTAGATCTTTAATAGGGTAATCGAAGTAAGTTAAACACCTACACAACATTCTAAATACCAACCATGAATACCAGTTCTATAATGAGAGTTATCCAAATGACCAATACATCCTAGGATCAATCTAGTCGATCCTGCGAGTTACCAGAGAGATTGAATAACAGTCATTAAGATTATTCGATAGTTTGGAGGACTAGCAGTTGTTTACCAGAAATAACTGTAAACACCCACCCACCGCCAACACGACCAAACTTTGAGGGTATGGATAACCGACTATACCAAAGTGGATCTTCTAGATATGGAGATCTGACTGATTTTATGGATCCATAACGCATTGACTTCGCTGGGCCATCGATCCTGCCACAACAGGAAATGCGACGACACCCAGCACAGGAAAGGCGAGGACGGGGATGCGGAACCGGGGATCATTATCGGGTTCCGGGGGATCACTGATTTATCTGGGTTTTTTTTCTATTTTTTTTTATCTGTTTTTTTTATCTGTTTTTTTAATGTAATACATTTGGATGTAATTATTTTTTTATAATAAAAAGTCAATTTTGTTGATCCTGTATCCAATACGCAACGCACCGGACCGAAAAAAAAAGAAGCAAAATTTGTCCTAGAATTACACATAGGCGCCATCTCACTTGGCTTAGGGCATGCCCTAAGCACATAGGCGCCAAGTGAGATGGCGCCTCCCCTTAAATAATGGGTGTAGGCGCCAAGTGAGATGGCTCCTCCTTTGAGGAGTCATCTGAAATATGGTTATTTGCGTGATTTTTTCCGAAACGCGGTTATTTGCGAAATTTTTTTTTAATACTTGATTATTAAAAAAAAAAATTCACCAATTGTTCTATAGTCTAATCATGTATGGAATAAAAGATGTGCCGTAATTCACCATAATCCATATGTTTTCTATCGATAATATAATATTTCATACAAGACATGGCCACAAAGTTTCTTATTTTACATTTAATTAATAACCAACTATATAATTAATTAGGGTATATTACCATAATGATTCTTATAATCCATAAACAACTGATCAGGCGTCTTTCCCAACAGAGTAACAAAGAAATCATTCTTGTAATGAGTTCTCATCATCTTGTTCAACTCAGCCACAAACCCATTTCTCAAACCATCACAATAATCCAAAAAACGAGCAGTAACATCATAACCCTGGCTCCATCTATCCCCTCCTCCTGCTTTAACCCAATGACCAGGTATATAGTTTGCTTTCAATCTCACATAATCTGCTATACCTTCAGTCAAAAACACCGGAGCTTTACCATGTCCATTCCACTGCCAAACGTGTGTCGTTTCATGAATCAACACTCCTGTAAGTTCATCTATAGTTTGAATGGTATTTAGATACCTTGCACTGACGTGAATTTCGCTGGTGCTGATATATGTAAATGCAACTCCATCGATATCCTCCACGAATAAACTCACCTTCTGCACGTTTTTTCTGTCAGCAGGGTTGTTCTCTTGGAAGATTTTCCATATGAATTGTGTGGCGGAGTCTAGGGTTTGTATGGTGTATTGTGTTCCAATATAATCGCGGAAACGCATACCACCTGGTGTAGAGAGTGCGGTGTTGGTTACAGTGTACTCAACTGCTTGTATTCCATGAGTTCCTGCAAGGAGTACTAAGAAAAATAAGAGACTTTGCATGGTTTTGAAGTTGTGTTTAGAGTTCTTAGGTTTCTTTCTCTTGAGGAATGGGTTTCTGATATGCAAATGCGCAAGGATTAGTGTTTTTATATAGTGGAATAATGGTTGTAATATATATTCACCGTAAACTAGTGAACAGTAATATATTATTATAATAATATTTTTTTTAAATAAAATTATATTTTTTTAGTAGTAAAATAAAGTTGGTTAATAAAATATGAAAAATTAATTAATAAAATGATGAAGTTGTTAACACTGACTAAATATTAAAAATAATTTAGTTGTAAAAATTATCTGAATGTTTATTAACTAATTTTATAACTTTATTAACCAATTTTTTATATTTCATTAATCGATTTCATTTTAAGACTAAAAATTATTTATAATATTTGAATATTTATTAACCAACTTCAATACTTCCCTAAAAAAAACGTTATTTGTTAGGGGTTTAACCCCTCACAAATAGCAAAAACCTCTTACAAATTCAAAATTTGCGAGGGGACTGATCCCTAGCAAAACAGGGGATCGCAAATTAATTTGTGAGGGGACTGATCCCTAGCAAAACAGGGGATCGTAAATACTTCATAAAAATATTTTTAAACACAGTTTTTATATGTTATTTATTCTCTTTTTTTGTAAATAAATTATAAAAAATTTCATATTAGTTTCTAATTATTTTTAAACAGTTAATAAACAATATTTCTCAAAAATATTTCTCAATAATTATATCACAACAATCCATTTTAATAAAAAAATAAAATATAATTTTTTTTAGATGTACCTTGAAGATGAACACTTAAAATTTAAATATTTTAGTAGCTTTGTATGATAACAATAAAACCTGAAATTAAAAGTCGAAATTAAAACTATTAATAAATATCTAATATAAACAAAATGTTATAAATTAGATATAAAATCAAATATAAAAAAAAATTACCTTAAATATATTTGAAGAATATATTTGAAGATGAAGGTGAAGTATTGAAATAGAAGAAGAAGAGAAGATATCAACTGTATTGGGAAAAAAGTCAACTGTGGCCAATTTACAGTCAAACCTCATAATTTTTTATCCACATCAACATTATAGACTCATATGAACGATTTGATCAAGTTTGGACCACAACTCCTCAAAAAATTTGACCAGATCATCAAAAGGGCAAAATGGTCATTTTTAGGGTTTTGACTGCAGAAGGGCAATTTCTGATTTTTCACCTAGCCAATGTCAAATTGGGTTCAAGCATGGATTCAAAGACTCAATGGAATCATCTTGACCTAATCACAAGGTTCAAAAGATCTCAAAAGCATTGGATTGACAGATGAATTTTCTAGTCAACTGATTAAAAATAAACTGTACACTGAAAAGTCAAACTTTGACTTTTTGGTCAAAATCAAGTGCCAAGGGTCATTTTTTCATCAATATGTGTCAAAACATGAAACTTGTTCATCAAGAAACCTAATTTTGCAAATTAGGGTTTAAGATTGAAAATTTTCATAACTTAGAATTTTTCTAAGTTATGAAATTTTCTTATTATTTCCCAACTTTGCCTAACATTTTCACTATGATGCAATTGGATTCAAACAAAACTTCCAACATGAAAGTTGTATTCCTCCACAAAATATACAACTTTTGTTCACAAAGTTTTCCCAAAAGATGCTTGTATCTAAAGTTATGATTTTTGGAATAAGGATCCATGAAACTTTTAACTTAGTGAATTTTTGTCCTAGTTTAGGCAGGATTTTGACCTATCTTCATGGAAATTTTTCACCTAGTTCCAATTGGAATCTCAAAATACATTTCAAATATGTATTGTAGAGCATGTTAGAAGCTTTCCAAAATATCCAAGAACTCTCCAAAATCATTTGTGGTTAGGGAGAATCGAAGGTTTGAATTTGGGAAAAAAGTCACTTTGATCCATGGCATTTTTCATGTTGCTACAAATTACAAATTCTATCCAGCCTTACTTGTACTTGCTCACAGGTCTTTAAACCCTTCCACACTCAAAAATTGAATTCAACCTCAATGGTTTAAGGCATTATTCTGATCAATGGAAGTTTACACAAGGGTTTAATCCATTTTTGGCAAAAAGGCAACAATGTTATTTTCATAAAGCACAACTTTATGTCAACTTATTTCCCTTGAGCCTTGAAACCAACTCTTTGCAGCAAACAAGCTCCATAAACTTAGGCAAAGGTACAACAATCTTGTGCATGCTTGGAGCTAGCATGTACAGGCCTGCCTTTTGTCATTTCACACTTTTCTTAAAAGCCAATTCAACTTGCAAAAACAAAGAGAAATCTTGTATCTGATAAAACCAACTCTTATAACCATTCAAAACAAGTTTTGCATATTGCCTTAAGTCAGAAGCACGGGCTAACCACTTCTCAAGCCTTCCAAAACACCAAAACACCATCTTCTTGCAAAACAGGGCAGCTTCTGGAGTTGCACCTCCATCTCACAAACCACTCGTGCATTTTGTCCCAAACCTCTTCCAACACACTCCATACAACCCATCTAAGCTCTCCCAACCATTGGCCAGTGACTGTAACTCCATTTACAAGCTTCACCATTTTTAAATTCTGCTTGTGCAGGTTGACTTCTACAGGCTTATTCAAGCAAACTCAAAGCAAACTAAGCATTGGGGAAGGTCAAAGGAAGTTCAAGCAATCTCCCAAGCATCTCAGGCCTCATTGAAAACCTCCACATTGCCATACTCGAGTTCAACTTAGGCAAGTATTTTCCAACTTTCTATCTCTCTATTTAGAATCATTAGGCTTAGGTTTGTGAATAAAAAATGTAGTACTCATTGCTCTTAAGTTGTACATATGCATATATTTCATTTAAGTTAATTGTGTTGAGAGAATTTGATTGATGAACTTTCTGAAAAAGTTAGGTTAGAAATTAGGGCCAGAGAAATTCTCTATGGTCTTTGAGAGTTATAGTAAGTTCTTTACATGGTTGGAATCGTGTTGGAAAATGCTATAACTTTTGTGTTGTGAGTTTTTGCTCTAGAGCACGTATGCAGGAGTTAGCCATTTGTACAAGAGGCGCGCGTTTTTTTGAACAGAGGTTGAAGATGAAGGCCAGTTGGGCTGGGCCTGGCTATTTCTCACTTTTTGCACCCCTGATTTGCTTCTCACACTCCCTTGGCCCATTTAATCTATTTTTGTATTTTTTCATTTCTTTTTTAATTTTTGACTTTATTTTATTTTTCTAAACTTTAAAAATTACCAAAAAATATTTTATTTAATTTTCACATTTTATTTTATTTTTTTTTAGACATAGAAATAATTATAATATACACTTTTATTTTCTTTAATAAAAACTTGTAAATAATATATAAAAAAACATTATATTTTATTTTTAGTATTTATATATACTTAAATAATATTTTCTCACATTATTTTTTTTTAACATTTGTATATATTTTATTTACTTTATTGTACATAAATAAATAATACATAATATATATATATATATATATATATATATATATATATATATATATATATATATATATATATATATATATATATATATATATATATATATATATATATATATATATATATATATATATATATATATATATATATTCTTAAAACAAATTAGGGTTTCCACCCTTAATAAAAATAATCTTTTATTTTATTATTTTTTATGCATTAAATAGTTTATTTTCACATATATAAAAATAATACAAAAAACATATTTTGCATATTTATAATATATTGCATATTTATTTAATTGTCCATTTAAATATTTGCTTATTTATCATTTGAACAAAGAATTCAATTTGGCTGTAATAATCTTAGGGTTTTAATTTCTTGCAAATAATCCCCTATTCAAAATTGTATCCCCCTCCCCATATTAATGTTGCAATAGTTGTAGATTTATTTTTACGCATTTATAGCTTATAAATATGCATGATAGAGATTAGGGTTTGTATGCAATATCCAAAATCAAAACAAATAGCTAGACCTAATACAAGACATAGAAGCATGTAAATTGACAACACAATGCACACATGCACCCCTAGGGTTTCATCCACTTGTTGCCTTTAAAATGGCCATGGTATGCATGTTGAGTATCTTGGCAAAACAAAATCAAAACAAAAAGATCATAGTCCCTCGATGACGCTATCTTGGTTGCCTATACAAAATGATCTAGTCTCTCACACAAAAACTTGCTAAGATACTTAGCACAATTGCTATCATGGTCAATACGATGACCCGCGCCTGTCCCGTTTAACACCCAAATACAAGGTTGTTTACCACATACAATGGTAAAACAACAATGTAAAAGGGTTAAAAATGTGTAGGAAAGATCTTTGAGTAGATAGGGTAGATGCTCTTAGTTACTTGAACAAAACTTGCAAACATCCTTGTTATTTTCAAAAACACATCACAACATAATTTCAAAACATTTCCCAAGACAAACTTTCAAACAATTGAAACATTTTTCAAAAGACAAACACCTTTGTATACATTCAAACAAGAATCATTACAAAGGTTGCCTAGGAAAAAGGGCCTCTTTTCAAAATATTTTCAAAACCGCACAAAGCACCATTTCAAACAATTGAAAAGCAAAAGCAAATGATCTAAACAAGTAACTAAGAGCCCATGGATAACCATGGATGAAAAGGGTGCTTTCACCTTACCTTTTCATAATCTTACCCTCGAACCCAAGAAAACATCTCAAAGGTCTTTCCTGTGCTTTTTGACCTTTCCTTTGGATAAAATAAAAAGTCGATGGCGACTCTTGCTAAACCGAAACATTTGCGAACACAAACGCAAAACCTCAAGTCAGTTCTCCCACCGTATCACAGAACTGGAGACTCTGTTGGGGAATAATCTAAAAGTGGGGTTACCTTAGGGTTTAGATCATCTTTACATGCTTACCTTATTTGCTTTGATTTCTTTACACTTGGTTCTATTGTTTGGGTTTAAAATCCTCTACCCGGATTTGGGAAACATTCATAGGTAAATAGCAATACATTGTGGAA